TCTCACAGTATTTATATGACTCTTAAATTTGATCGATATGCAGGGACATATCCTTATACCTTCGTTATGCCAGGAAACACCCTCACAGTTAAACCTTTAAGCAATGGGCAGAAACTTCAAGTGCACTGGATCAACAACAACTTGCAGTTATCCATCCCATACGTCACTCATCGTTGTCCCGGGCAATTTTCAAGCTGTTATGACGAGACTAATTATAAGTCAGTTACCTTCAGCACCAATTACGTGAGAACCTTCAAGGCCTCCATTGACAAGGAATTGACGATATCGTATACAGAAGAGTCCAAATCTGGATCCGCAAGTAGCGTACATCATTGGACTGATTTTTTCCGGGCCCAAACCTACACAACTGCGAGGAACACGATCACCAGCAATGTGGGCAACTACTTGTCAGGTCTGCAGTTCAACTTTCGAAGCATATCTGCATTTGCACTCACTCAGGTTCTCTTCCCAAGCCAGAAAGTGTTTGTCTTGACGGAGGTCTACATTCCAGGCGACATGGTTATCCTTGGCACTGTTAACACCAAACCCACGAAAGCCTCCAAGTGATCAACAACAAGCTGAATTATGAAAATGTGAGCGAAAGGTAGTATTCGTGATGGTTTTCAGTTCAAAAACCAAAGATGCAAACTTAAATTATTATCAGTTATCCAGAATAAACGAGTTAAACTAATCCCACGTTTGTGGTTTGATTTAAATTGTTCCTTTAAATTTCTGATTCATAAAAGAGAGCAGTGGGATAATTAATCGAGAAGGGAAGTCAAGTTATAGCAACAGAGGAGGGAGAGCACAACCGCAACGTCGATAAAAAAAGATTTCAAGGATTACAACAATAAATACGCTCGTAGTGCAGTTTTGCTCGAAGTCTTATAGCACTCTAGAAGTTCGATAGATCTGTGTGAATTTTGACACAAAAATCGTATTGTAAAAATATACATATACAAGTCTAAAATCCTGACGCCCACAACATCTGGGATCTGGCAGACCAACCCCAAAAATTTTCAATTTTTGGGGAGAAAAACTGGAATATGGGACTCTCGTAACAAAACCCTCTGCACAGATAGCCTCAAAATATGGTGGATTCTCCCGGCATACCTATGACATTTTGTCACACTTTACGTTTTTCGTTTTGGTCTTGTTAGGACTGCGCCGTCAAAATGAAAACTCCTCCACAATTGCTATGGTTTGTTTTACTGCATCGTTAAGCTGGTATACTGTACCCAACATAAAAATTCGGACGTCTGCGCATGCGCGAACGTTGTAGAGGCTTAGTGACGTGCTTTCAGTTTGTCAAAACCAAGTTGTCTTATAAATAACCACACAGGTGAGTAAGAGGGGAATATGCATGCTGACTTAAGGTTATAAAGAGTTGTAAGAAGCATTCCAGATCCTCCCTTAAGCATTTTATCAATTGCTGTATTTTTCAAAAAGGTGTGCGTTAATGCACATGTTACATGAAATATCCAGGTAACACATCTTCGTCAACACTCCTGGTTTAATTTTAAAGATGCTGACTTTTTTGCCCTGAAAAAATCACGATGTGTGAACTTTAGCCTGCAGTGCAGGCGTCTTATTAGGGCGAGCTAACGTTATAAGCTCG